TTTCAGCTGGAGTCTCCTTCCCCCTGGGATGGATTTCCCCATAAAATAAATGTCTTGTCTGAATTAATCTTATTTTTAAAAGGAGAAAGTCATCATATTGTAAAGACAGATCATAAAAAGACACATCAGTCTGTCAGGAAGACTGGTTAATATGAGTATTTGTTTAGCAGAGACAGTGCACCCGAGGCAGCCTTTCTGGACCAGCCCTGGGCCTGGAAGGGGCCTTTCATTTGCATCCTTAGAGCATCTAGGGCTGGCAGCTTTGCATTCTGAATACAGGCACAGTAGCAGCCACACTCTGCAGAAGAGGCCGGGAGAGGCCCCCCAGCTGGAGGGACGGCTCCCTCAGTCCCAGCCATGCCCCAAACCCTTCCATTCGAGAACTAATCAATGTGAGGGATCTTTAGAAGACACCTCAGACAATCTCTCCATTTTGTTTCATTCTTTAAAAAATGACATAGGCCATCACATAAGTATGTAGATAAAAAACGAGTAGTATATGAAGTACATGGTATAAAAATTCTATGCTGTGAAACATTACATGGGTAACACATGAAACAGAACAGAGAAAACCACAAAAGTGCGTTTGCCTTTTCCACAGTTGACCACTGTGAACTGTTTGGTGTGCATCTTTCTCAACGTCTTCCGATACATTTCTATCTCTCTCCTGCATGATACACATGCACTGTTTGGTTTTTGTTAGATGGGATAGAAACATATCAAAACTTGGTACTTGAATTTTTTTTAAATTAACATTCTACTTTGGGTTTCTTTTTAAAAATAAAGCTATAAAACGAATACATGTTTATCATAGAAACTTCAAAATCGATAGAGGGGTAGAAAATAAAAAGTAAGAAAGAACCCTAAAACCCCAAAAAGAAAATCTTTTCCTTCCTTTCTCTTCATTCCCACTCCCCAGAGCAAACAGATAAAATATATTTTTGTGTATGTTTTTGGAAATAACTATGCACGTACAGGCATTTAAACACTCACATCCTCCATCTGTTCATTGAGGAAGTGAGAGCTCGGAGAGGTCACAGGGCAGATCCAAGGTCACACAGCTGACTGGGGCAGAAGCAAATGCAGAGCCGGGCGCCTCAACTTCAGAGGGCAAAGGCCTTTCCATGGCACATCTCCAGGGAGTTTGCCCAGAGCCAGTCTCAGCTGGTGTGGCTAATCCTAACCTCCACCTTGTCTGCCAGGCGGTGACACTTCTCCATACCGCCCACGTCCCCCGGCCCCGTCCCCCCAACACTGCTGCCTTGCAGCGTATTAACGGAATGCACTTGTGCGGCTTGTTCGGGGCGGGGGCCTAACGGTTTGTTTCACTAACACTGCTGTCTCTGCCAGAGCTGTCGTCACAGCAGGACAGCGTCGTGGAGCCTCCTGGCAAAGCGATTCGTTCAGTTTGTGCCTGCGCTTTTGTTCCCCAGATTACAAGTGACAGTTACAGGCAGAAGACCCTTCCCGAGGATGATTCCATTTAAGTAATCCCTTGCCCTGGTGGGAGCTGGTATTTGGTTAGGGCTCTTGCCCCTCCCTCTACAGGAGGCTATGGGGCCACAGGCCTGCCCCCCAGGAGCTCACAGCTTGGTGGAGGAGGGCAGCACACACCCTGATACACCCACCGCTGATCTGCAGGTCGCCTGTGTTCCCTCTCTGTTCTGTGTGTGTGTGTGTCGACCTTGGCCATCTTGGCCCCAGATGTGCCTACAGCATTGCCAACATCTGGGTGGAAGGAGAAAAGTCAGCCAGCCATCGGGATGTATTTGTTTCTGGTTGACGGCAGGATGGCCCCCATCTGGGCATCTAGGAAACATCTAGACGGACAGCCCGAGTAATCTGTATACCCACATATTTGATTCTGCCACCTATGACAATGTGAGGTGGCAGAGCCTGGACCAACGAACTCCATCCCTCCAGCCAAGCCAGGCCTGTTCTGACCTTGCAGACAGAAAAGAGGGAAGCCCAGAACCCGGACACTGGTACAGGGATGGGAGGGGTGTGTGTGTGTGTGTGTGTGTGTGTGTGTGTGTATGGGGGCAGGGGGTTGGGAGGGGAGGGTTGTGCGTGCATTTGTGTGTTGGGGTAAGGGGCTGGCAGCTAGAGAAACTCTGATCTAGAAAATGAAGTCTCTGGACTTCACGGTTCTGCTCGAGTCTGGGGCTGCAGGTGTGGCCCAGGGCCGGGAGCTTTGGGGTGGGGCACGGTCTTCCCTGGCTCTTCCTGATTCACTACCATTCAGCAACCAGTGTCCCTCCCAGCAGAACAAAACCTCCCGAGATTGCTGGTTCCACAGTGCCCTCCAGTGGGCAAGCAGAATATGTCTGGAGAGAAAGCCTTCGCCACACGTGGTCACAAGTCACAGGTGTGGATCCTTCAGGCATTTTAGAATCGAGGTTCAAGTTCCTCCACCTGCTTCCATGACCTTTGGAAGATAAGGTTCTAAATGAACAGTTGGCTGTTTGTATAGAGGAGTGGGAGACCGGTAGAAGTCTGTAAAGAGAGAGCAAGGGACTGAGGACTGGGGCACCAGTGTTTTAGGGCATTGTGGACAGAGACTGGGTGAAATGTAAAACAATGGTGACTC